AATGGAAGATGAAGCCCTAGTGCTTGGGCGATTAGGAAACACGCACTTGGAGTGCAAGCCAAGGAATTAGATTCCCTAGTTATTTAGTTTCTTTATTGCTTTATGATATCTAGATTGTTTAGGATACTTAATATTTTATTGTTTTATTAGAGTTATAGTTATATTAGGATTAGATCTAGATGATGCCTATATAAAGGCCCTTCCTCTTGTTAATCTAATCATCCAAGAAATCAATACAAAAAACCCGAACTTTTGTCCAAACTCTTTGCTCTAGTTTTCTTCTTGAATTCTTTTGCAATTATAATCGTTAGAAAGGCTGCGAGTGTGCGACTTCCTAACACCTATCAAACGATTTAAGGCGCGGGAGCGGCTTGTCGGCAATCGAGACACACAGTCTTCATCACCCCGGCAGCCCAAGCTGCCAGCCGCGGCCGCGCCGGCCAGCCTTGGCTCCCGGCTCCGGTTTCTTCCTTGCTTTGTCCGTCGAGGCTCTTTGGATCGTTGTGAAGGCCCGGTCTTCAACGATAGATCACAATTCGAAAAATATAATTTACAAAATTACATAAATCGATTCCTAGATCCAGCGGGTGGATGTACATGCCTTCTACTAATAAATTAAACTATCCGATCAACCCCCGGGCAATTAATACAAGCATTCATCCATAATTCCTCGACAATCCCGAGGCTTTAAAACAAATTTAAAAACATACAACCAACCATCAATTAAGCACAAACACATAAAAGGGTGGCCATAATAGTGGATTAACTACTTCCTGCAAAACCAAGTTATGCATATAATCCAATATATATGGTTGCGCTTGAGCACACATAGACAATATAAGCTTTAATCTGGATCTTGTACATAACGAATTAACCTCGGCTCTGATACCAATTGTTGGGACCTATGAGGATCTCGATATGCACAAATCACGGACAAACATTCAAACATAAACCTATGCACAGCGGATCTAAAAGTTTGATGTAGGAAACTTACGGCTTAAAATTTATGTAGATCTGGCTGGCCCGAACGGATGACCGCAAATCAAATCTCCTCG